GGGGGGGGGGGGGGGGGGGGGGGGAGATACAAATTAAATAGCGATGTTAAAATCAAGTATTTGTGAATTTTCCTAAGTATCATAAAACAAGAGAACAAACATGAAAATTAATTTAATTTGATCACAAGAAACTTACTTGAACAAAGGAGCAATCTAGGAGTATGTCAATGTCTTTCAAGCGCAAAACATTTTGATAAACATACCTTCTTATCTACGAAACCAAGAAAATGCATGCACAAAATCAATAAAATAATCGAGATATACATAAATTATTTGAAAAGATATATAGACAGATAGATGGAGTAATATTTTTTTTCTATTTACCAAACATCACAAAATATGCAGTAGAATTTATTTTTTTTTTAAGAAAATATTTTTTATCGTAACAAGCACACACGTAGTTCAAATGCATATCAAGTAGGCAAGGCATAGATTTGATTCAAACTTGTAAGAAGAAACTCTTGAAGTTGAAAAATAGTAGTTCATTTACCTACTGAAACATGTATTTCATTTAAAAGTTAGAAACTTGAAGGTCGAAAAAAAGATTTTCCAGCTTATAATAAAATCAATCTAATGTATAACCGAACAATATATTGAAAAATAATAATTCTATATTCAAATAATTTTAACTAACCTGCAAAAGTTTGTGACTTTGGTGAGAAGGCAAACAGTGGATGCATAAACTAAGGCAACAATCCAAACAAAATGCATTTTCTTCATTCTTTTTCTCAAATTCATGAACCAAACATGAATTAAAGAATTTTTCACTCAAAAGCACTTCAAGCCATTTTGGAATAATTGAATTTGAAACACTTCCCACCTTCAAAAAAGAATCATATAAATATCAGAATATAAATAAATCAGTAATAAAAACTATTTCACACAAACAAAGGCTATCTCTATCTTTAATTAGAGATCTCGAATTTAAACTTGAATTTACTAAAGAGCATTTTACCCTCAAAATGAGTTTTTTTAAAGCAAATTAAAATTAGTCGTACTTCAAAATAAATGTCAAACACTATATTAAAAACAAAAAGAAACGAAACTATTTTTAAAACTAACCATTTCAACTAATTTGTTATTCTAATTATTTGTGTACTTGAGGTTCTTAGTCTCTTTCCATGAAGATGTAAAGAAATGGCCCTTATATAGAAGCAATAGAGGGTGGTAGAGGTCCAACCAATAAAGTTGTGTGAGGTTTCATTCAATTTTTGACACTTGAATAAGTGAGCATATGCACACTTTTACTTTTCACTCTGCACCCCCACCAGTTCCCTCCCATCTGCCCACCCCTCCTCTATTTTTATTTTCTTCTTTTTCATTTTTTTTAATTCTTCAAAAAATGGAAATGTGGAAAAAATAAATTGGTAACCAAAGAAAAGTTAGCCTACCCCTCCTCTATTTTTATTTTCTTCTTTTTCATTTTTTTTAATTCTTCAAAATATGAAAATGTGGAAAAAAAAAATTGGTAACCAATAAAAGAAAGTTAAAATATAAATTGATTACCAAATTTTCACAGGAGTCTCTTTCACCATATAAATTGATTATCAAACTGTCCTTGTTTTTTTATATAACCGAAGAAAAGTTAAAATATAAAGGTAACAAATCAAATGTTAGAAAATAAAGAGACTCACGCCGTAAAGTGGAATTTAATTTATTTAATTTGATTTATTATTTTTTCACTAAGTTTCTAAAAATATGTAAAGATAGTTGAATATTAACGAAAACATTAGAATTAAAAATGATTGATTTAGCTGAATTCAAATAACTTTTAGGTATACATATTTAAAAACATCTTTTTAGTGCTCAAGTATTGTAGCTGAAAATAAGTCTTTGATGCATTTGATAATAAAAAAAATGTTTAGTAACAACTTATCTATTAAAATAACTAAAGTTTCTTTAAAATTGTTAATATTAAAAATAAATTTATTATCCAACATTTCTATATCAAAGTAACTCAAATCACAAATGATAGTATTAAACTAATTGAAAACTCAATTTAGTTTTTATTTACTTATATATTATGCAATAATTAATAATCCAACTTAAGAAAAATATTTCAACTTTTCTTTGTTATAAAAAAAAAGGTTTTTATTATTTTTCACATTTCCATTTTTTGAAGAATTTTAAAAAATAAAAATAGAGGAGTCGTGGGCAGATGGGAGGGAGTTGGTGGGGGTGGAGAGTGAAAAGTAAAAGTGTGCATATGGGCCCACCTATTCAAGTGTCAAAAATTGAATGAACCTCACACAATTATTGTTGCTTGGGCTTCTATCATCTTAAAATTTTTCCGAGGGTGGACTACAAAAGAAAAGAAAAGCTTAATTGCATTGATATCTATATCAAATCAATGTAATACTCCCTCCGTTCACTATTGTTTGTCATATTAAGATCATGCGCAATCTTTAAGAAAAATTTAATATAAGTTGCAATTTGACTAATATAACCCTACTATCAATCATTATTAAAATGGTTTGTACTTTTTAAAAATTGTAAAAACAACTTTTTTCACATTAAAGTAGTTTGTAATTTTAAAATGACTACTTTTTGAAACTAGTAGTTATGTAATTATTAAAGATAGAATTGGAAAAAAGTGACTAATTGTTTCTTGATTGTTTAAATTGACAATTAATTTTGAACAACTATTTTAATATACCTGACAAATAATAGTGGACGGAGGAAATACTCTATATATTACTTTTTAAATAAGTATTTTGCACGCTTTTTAAAAAAGTTTGATTATTCATACTTACTATACTTTAAAAAGTAAAATAAAAAGTATGATTGAAATGATTCAAATATATGAAAAAGAGGTGTGATGGAGGTATCAATAAGGACCTAGGATGTGTGGGCATTTGATATTAACAAATTTCAAGAGGTATCAATAGGTAGTACTATGTGGAAGAGGCAGGGGTTTAGTCTCATCTTCTCCTTAATTATTAATTACTCTTATCTGGTATTCATAATATCTTATTCTTTAGCTTTTACTACTACATGTTGCTTTGCAATTGTTATATTTATTTTTTAAGTATCTTATTTTGTTTACACTTTTTTAGAGCTAAGAATCTATCATAAACATTCCTTCAATTTCACAAAAGCAAAGACAAGTTCTGCATATGTTCTATTCTTCTCTAACTTCATTTGTGAAAACCGCAAGCTTATTCACTAATGTATTGAAAAGAAAAATATAGACGCGATGATGTGACACTCTTTGATACCAAGAAATTACATATATATCTCCAACCAATGCACTCATTACACACCATTTGTTTGCATAATTAGCCAAGAAACTCTAACAACTACAAGATCCAAAATGAAATCTTTTTTGCAGTATTAGACTCATTCCCTATATTTTGCCTATGACATTAAAACAACATTGGGAAAAGAGATAGAGACAAATTGATCATAAAAAAGGTCTATAATGGCTGCTGAAAAATCCTTTCAAATATAACCAAAATTTACATAGAGATAAGATGAAGAAAAAAGTACAAAGAGGCAATGATGTTTGTTGACTTTATTTACTACTATTTGATGAAAATAGAAACAAAATTTGGATCTTGGAGTTAAGAGGGACAAAACATCAGCCAAAAGCTAACCAATTGATTGATTTGATGAGAAAATGAATACTCCCTTATGTTTAGTTTCTTAAATATATTAATAAGGGGCTGTTTGGTGGGAACAAGTTATCCTAGGATTAATTATCCTGAAATAACTTATCCACCGTGTATATGGATAACTTATCCCATGATTCCATCACTATGATATAAATGGTGGGATAAGTTATCTCAAACAAGGCACCAAATTTTTATTCCAGGACTATTTTTTTATCCAGAACTATTTATTTTTATCCCTCACGCCAAACGACCTCTAAGAGGTTTTACATTCGAATCCTGAAGTATGAAATAGTTTATTAATCGACTTCAAAATGAATACTTGACAATTGATAGAGAACAAATATTAGCGATTTAATGAAGTTTATTATTCACGATAAATTTTATTACGTGTTTCATATAACTAAACTCTAGTTATGTGAGGTTTTTTCTGTCTCACACAAATAAAAAAAAAACTAAATCAAATACTTTTGAATCCATTTTTTTTTGGGAGATAAAAAGAAAATTTCTCAAACAAACAGATAAAAACTTGCCCGTGCTTACTACACGACCATAACGGCATAACCATAAGATATGTACTTCAAATATCATTTTTCAAAATATTTTTCAATTTCAATCTAGCCATGTTCAAAATATCTGATTAAGAATATATATATTATCGTCTAATATTTATAAAATTTAGATCATGATCTAATATATTTTTATAGGACTTTTCGAATTTCGTTTGCTTAAAAATAATTTTTATATCGTGATCTAATAGATTCATATAGTAGGAGAGAAATAATAAAAATTGATGATCTATTAAATATTTGTTCCAAAAAGAGATAACCGACGAAAATTTAAATTACCTAAATACACAACTTATTTTATCATATTTTCTAAATTTCCCTACCATTCGATAAAATTACAAAAATCTCTACTCTCTCCTATTCTCAGACGCGATGTATCGGTCGGATACATCACTATATACGCAATGTATCGGGACGTAATACATCACTTTACGCAATGTATCGGTCGGATACATCACTATACGCGATGTATCGGAATATTGAGTGATGTATTCGAAATCGAGTCGTGATGTAGAGGGACGTTGAGCGATATATTTGAAACCGAAACGTGATGTATCGGGACGTTTTTGGATGTATCCGGATTCCACCAAATTTAAGGAATTTTGAAATTTTGAAAGAGTAGAGATAAGATGTAATTAGCTCCGAATACTATGAAATTTGAATAAAATTTCCCAAAATTTTCTATTATCTTAGTTGTACCTAAATGGATTGGTCTTGGGCTATGTAAGTGGGCCGGTTAGTAGAACTAGACTAGTGTGGGCTTAAACCACAAGCCTAAGTAGAGTTACAAAAATAATCACTTCAAAGCACCATTATTTAA